AGCTGTGTATGTGGGGGTGTTGTAAGGTAATGACTGTTTCTTCTCTAATTTCCAGAATGCTTGGCAACTAAAGATCAAAACTTAGGAGCACAACACTGCACTTAGCTTTACAGCATGAACAGTGCTTAAGGAGCATACAAGCTTAAGAGGAGGCTGGAGTTATTAAGTTAGATTGCCTGAGTTCGAATCCAGGCTTTGCCACGTAAAACCTGTGATTTTGGGTAAGTTACTTAGCCTTTCTAATTTTCATTTGTAACCTGAAGATAATAAAGAGTACCAACTTCAGGGCATTACTTTGAGATAATTCTTGCAGAAAACAGCACTCGGCTCCTGATTAACAATTAATACGTGCTTCCATGTTATCAGTTGCAACACTAAAAGAAATAACAGTGCTATCAACTGTTTTGTTTTGAAGTGACTGCCACAAACATTAAGAAGGTAAATCAAACAGATATGCGATAACACGTTTTGTAAGGAAGCACTTCTGTTGAGGTCTGTTATTTTGATTAAGCTTCTTCTCACCAAACGGCAACGGAAATTTTCTAGAATTATCTTCGGGACCAAGAAAGTCAAATCCGGGACCTCAGTGTAACACCACACAAGCAGAAATGGGTATCACCAGCGTCAAAGAAACACCTGCCAATCCTGGTCCACAGATGTCATTTCACATGAATGGACAGAACCGTTCCAATCTTAGAACTTTCTAGCCTGCAACAAACGTCCTTTAAAGCAAGGAACAATCACAACACACAAACAAAATGCCTAAGTCCTGCCATTAATTCACCCCTGCAGAAAAAGAGAACTATTAGATAAAAGGATTTGGAGCGACAAAATCGGTCTTTAAGGGGCGCGGGAGTAAACGGTATAAGAGATGCTCCTGTTAAGGAAGCCGCAGGGCCTTACTCCAGGTTGGGAAGGGGGGGCGCCCTGGGACGAGCGAGTCTCGACCGGGAAGTCGCGTCCCCAAACCGTGCGCCAGGGAAGAGCCGCCCACGGTCAAACAGGGGGTGGCGAGACCCCACCGTTCCCCACGGTCTCAGCCGGGACTCGACGAACCCCTTCCCTTCACCCCGCCCTCCCATCCGCCAAACTGGGACCCTGAGGGCCGCACGCGCGGAGGCCGGCGGCGGGTCCGCGCTCGGCTCCCCGGGCCGGGGTGAGGAGGCCGGCGCCCGGTCCCATCCCGGAACTCCCGCCCGGGCCCCGCCGCGGCAGGCCGCCCGCAGCTGCGAGCCGTGCGGAGCCTTACCCGACGTCTAGCCAGGCGACAGGTGGTGCTGCCTGCGGAGAGGCCGCGGTCCCGCAGCCCACCCAGACGATGCTCAGCTCCGGCCGAGTTCGGCCCTCCCCTTCTCGAGGCTTTCCGGAGCCGGCTCCAGGTCAGGATCGGAATGGCTGGGTCGGATGGATAATAGCCGAGGCAGCCAGTAAATCCGCGTACTGAGAAGAGGGAACAGGGAGTACAGCCGGCGCGGCCCCATGGGGGGAGACTGACGGGCGCGCAGACCAATACGGAGGCAGGAAGCCAGCCTTGAGGGGCGGGGCTCCGCTTTGAGGTTTCGCGACTGGCGCACCCGCGTTCCAGCCTCGCAGTACCTTCCTCTGTTTGGTGGCTAGAGGTTATCATTTAGGGCCAGGTGCATGCCCTTAAGGGCCCGACCCCAAGGAGTGAGAGAGGGGTCGTGTAGGGTGGGGGGAGTCCGGATATAAGACGAATACCGCCGCCCCACGAAAAGACCTGGGGCTGGCTACCGCAGACTTCGCCTTCCCGCGGCTGGCGGTATGGTTGGGGGTGATGGCTGCGTTTTCGCGCGAGAAGAGGCTCTGCGCAGGCGCGGGCGAGGCCGGGAATGGGGTGGGGTGGGGCGTGTCGACGGGTACCAGTCTCCGATCCCGAGAAGAGAGGAAGGCTGGGACTTTGGGTCGGTTCTGGACAGCCAGTGGAGGCAGGGAGAGGATTGCAGAGATTTAAGAGCGGGATACACGCCAGGAGAATGGAGAAGCAGAAGAGGGAGGACCCAGGAAATGCGAAGCCTCCGCACTTGAGGAACGCTTTATGTTTCTGAGCAGTTTTTGTCTAAGAGTTGCTCTTTTGCCGAATTCTTTGCTACTCTTCACGGTTGCTGACACACTTTGGCCTGCAGGGAATTTACTAATGATCCCTACAATCACAGTCACCATAAATAGATATTCAATGTTCCCTCTCAGAAAAGCACTGGAACCCTAAATTGTCATCTTGAAAGCTGCAGGACCATACCTTAATGCATCTATACTCACCCACGGTTATGATATTGGAGGATATTTCTTCATTCTTATTTCAGAAAATGTTATCACCCAAAATTCTTTACTGTAGTCGGGTTCGTGTGCTTTTAAAGTATAATAATAATAGTTTTTAACTAAAGATGTAAAGGGTAAAAAAGAGGCAAGGCAGGGCTTCCCTGGTGGCGCAGTGGTTGGGAGTCCGCCTGCCGATGCAGGAGAGACGGGTTTGTGCCCCGGTCCGGGAAGATTCCACATGCCGCGGAGCGGCTGGGCTCGTGAGCCAGGGCCGCTGAGCCTACGCGTCCGGAGCCTGTGCTCCGCCGCAAGAGAGGCCGCGATAGTGAGAGGCCCAAGCACCGCGATGAAGAGTGGCCCCCACTTGCCGCAGCTAGAGAAAGCCCTCGCACAGTAAACGAAGACCCAACACAGCCAAAAAATAAATTAATTAATTTTAAAAAAAGTTTTAAATAAAATCAAAATGGGATAACTGTGGTTCAGACATTCAAAATGGAGCCTAGTGGCCCTTGTGGATATGGTTTCAGACACATGCCTGCATTACTGAGAACTTGAATTTTCTTTTATATTTTTTTGCGGTTCGCGGGCCTCTCACTGTTGTGGCCTCTCCCGTTGCGGAGCACAGGCTCCGGACGCGCAGGCTCAGCGGCCATGGCTCACGGGCCCAGCCGCTCCGCGGCATGTGGGATCTTCCCGGAGCGGGGCACGAACCCGCGTTCCCTGCATTGGCAGGTGGACCCTCAACCACTGTACCACCAGGGAAGCCCTTGAATTTTCTCAACTATAATCAGACTCAAGGACACCACCAGCCCTTCTCAAAACGATGTCTGCTAGCAGCTGCCAGCTGCAACATTATGGTCTCAACGTCTCTCCTGTAACTCTGCCACCATTTCAAACCCCAACCAATCCTTGCTTAATAAGACCCCTAACTTCTTGCCAGCTCCGATCCTAATTATTGACAAACAACTTATCAACTTTGTGGGTTTTGCCTTTATAAGCGTCCCCCATTTTGTAGCCTGGCAGAACACAATTCAAGTCCTTCTCGAATCTGTGGCTCCGGGCTATAGTCCTCAGCTTGGCGCGAATAAAACTCTTTTCTATTCCTATTATGGATTGTTTATTGATTATTTTCATTGCCGTTACCATTATATCACCTGAAATAGACTAGATTTGAATTTTGTAATAGAGCTCTAGAGCAGGCATGAGATCTCCTCTTGCATGTCTATTCCGTCCCGTGTCCATGTGATTGGACAGAGGTCATGGGTGCAGGGCTAACTTTGTGTGATGGTGGGAGAGATAGGCAGGTTGCTAGGGTGAGAAGCTTCTGAGGATAACCATTGCACTCCTGCACTCAGCCTCTCTCCCAACTGCTGACCGGTTTCCTCTATACCAGGAAATAAGTTTTCATTCAACAACCCTCAGAAATGATGAGAAAGAAAGACAATGAACTCAAAGAGTTCTTGGGTGCCATACCTGTGTTTCTCATTGTCCCCAAATGTCCGAAATTCACTTTGGAGCCCATCACTGTCTCCAATCTGTTAAAAAACAAAATTTAACTGAGTAAATTTGAAGATTTAATTGGCTTTATTCATGAATCAGGCAGCATCTCATCTGGCAAACAGAGACATACTCCCAGAAGCGATTACCTCTGAAACTTGGGTTACCTAGAAAGCTCTGTGGAAGAGCACAAGAGCAAATCTTGACTTAAGTAGAAAAGTTCCTTAAATAATGTATTACCTACAAGTTCACTAACTCTTATCCATAATTCCGGAATCCAGAAGGTTTTTTTCCCCATGATTTTGTAATTTTGGTGGAGCCAGAATTTATTTGGTGACAAATAAGAATGTGTCACTAGGCTGTCTATAGTCTTCATTTCTCCAACATAATGTAAATATTCACATGTTTCTCTTCAGTAACAAGAATGTTTTGTGGCACTACCCCAGATCCCACTGAGGATATTATAAACATACAGTATATGCTCCTTATAACGTTTTCCCAAATCCCAAAGTTTCTAAATTCTGAAGCCCAACTGGCTCCAAGAACTTCTTCCATTTTTATGAGCCAATCCTTCTTATGGCAAAATAAATTAGGGAAAAACTACGTATAGTTCTTAATTTCAATTTTGCTGGGATTAAGCAGAAAATTTTTTATGTAAATACTGTTTATTACAATACTCAAAAAGCTAAATTTATTGTGAGTGAGAAATGATCATGACATTTTACTTGGTGCTGTGAGCACAGAAATGACTGATTGGATGAGTTATGAGAACTTAGCTTTTAAGGAGAAATTTTTGATGATAGAAGTCAGTAAAGGTTAGCTTTAAGGGGGTTGGCTGAAAAGAGACACAAGGGAACATTCTATATCTCAGTCTGGACACTAGCTATACAAGTGTATTCATGTGTAAAAATTCATCAAGTTTGAGTGACGTAATTTACACACCTTACTGCATGAATTTTATATCCACCCCAGTAAATATATAAAATAAACCATTTGTATTGTGCACTGCTGTTTCTTTTGGAGCAAATGTTCTCCATGGAAACTGCTATGGATCTAATACCTTTCTTCTAGGCTTTCCTCTTTGGTGTCCTCCACTGGACCCTCTAAGAAAAAGGTGGGGACCATTCTTGGCTGCTCAGAATGTAGCTCACCAGGCCTTCTGGAGTTGTCAAAATAGCCATGCAGAAAATACAAAAAAATGCTGAGCCTGGAAAGAAGGCACAAGCGTTTCCTGGAAGGATGATTACAAGGCCGGTGATCTGGTAAAACAAGGTGCCAAGGCCCAAATCAACAGGAAACTAGGAGGAAGACATACGTATCGGGGTAGGTCACTGAACAAACAGAAGCATGTGTGTGTGGAGCAGGCTGTGTGAGTCCTGTGCTGTTGGGAGTTGAGGCCACCCACCATCTCTGGGTTTGCCTTTGGTTGGGGTGGTTCACCTGTGAAGTGGGAGGAGCTATAAAGGGGCAGGCTGATGCTGCACACTTGGCTACATGACTTCCCTGTAAAACTTCATTAGGCAAAGTTTAAAGACGTGTGTAGCCAGTTGTCTCGAGATGGGTACACATTTGCCCACTTTCTCAAAATCAAAGAAGGATGCTTGGAAAAACTTTTGTATCAATTGCCATGAAAATAGAGCAGCTTGATTTCTTTCTTTTTTTTGTTGTTGTTTGTTTGTTTTTTTGCTTGCGGGATCTTAGTTCCCCAAACCAGGGATTGAACCCGGGCCCTGGCAGTGAAAGCACCAAGTCCTAACCACTGGACCGCCAGGGAATTCCCTAGAGCAGCTTGATTTAATCCAAGCACCACAATGTGTTTTCTTAAGGGAAAACCATATTATTGATGTTTCAGAGAATTATGGAAGATCATTCTCTTTGTAATGAGAATATACGTGAGCAGGATCATTGGTTTTAGGTTGGCACATCATCTATCGCTAAAGCAGACTGTGCTAATCACATTTTTTTTTAAGTTAATTTATTTTTGGCTGCATCGAATCTTCGTTGCTGTGTGCGGGCTTTAGTTGCAGCGAGCGGGGGCTACTCTTCATTGCGGTGCGTGAGCTTCTCATTGCAGTGGCTTCTCTTGTTGCGGAGCACGGGCTCTAGGTAAACAGGCTTCAGTAATTGTGGCACGCGGGCTCAGTAGTTGTGGCTCACTGTCTCTAGAGCGCAGGCTCAGTAGTTGTGGCTCACGGGCTTAGTTGCTCCGCGTCATGTGGGATCTTCCCAGACCAGGGCTCGAACACCTGTCCCCTGCATTGGCAGGCTGATTCTTAGCCACTGCACCACCAGGGAAGTCATAATCACATGTTTAGATTTACACAACTCCATCTGCCTTAGAATAGGAAATATGAATAATGAATGCTGACTGCGCTGCTGGGAATTATCCCTCAGTAAATTAGGGTTATTAAAAATGTAAACTCTTTAAAAATACAAGAGAAAGTAAACAGTATATCTAAAGGCATTTGTGCTAGACACTCTGCAAAAACAAACTTGTCAGCCTAGTCTGGGGGTGAGACATAAAAACATTTGGTGAAGGTAAGTACTATCATTAAGAAACAACAATGTTTTCATTATTCCCAAAATACAATAATGTGCTAATGATGATAATTACCTCCATAAAAGTGCTAATAATTCTTTATATAATTAAAATAAATAGAACTTTGCAGGCTGTCTGAAAGAGTAAACTAATAGCATAATAAACAGTGTCTTCATTAACAAAATATTTTGGAAAGTTCTGGAAATTTTTGTGAAGAACAAAGAGGTTAATATCATAGGCTTGTTAATAATCGAAGAACCTTTACTCCTCAAGGAAAAATAGCATTTTGATGTTTATGGATAATATTGTATCACACTTGATTTTTCTCTAAGACTTTCAAGTATACTGGAGAGAGTAAGGCAAAAATTTACTATGTCATGTCATTGTGGAAATAACCTCTCTCTTTTAGTGATCCAAAGTGATTTGATCTTGCTAAGGCTGCCCCTAAGATCTTCCTGAGTCAGAGGCTTCTTGGTGTTGCTTATTCTAAATCCTAGTCCAGGCTCCATCATTATCTATAAGCTCTTAAGGGAGGACTCCAGGATCAGCAACATTGGTATCACCTGTGAACTTGTTAGAAAAATGAAATCAGGAACCCACTCCAGACCTACAGCATCAGAATCCAACAGGTTTAGGCGGTTCCACACAAATTAGCACTTGAGAAGCACGGAGGACTCCTGAAGTCCTAGATTCTGTGAATTCATGTTGCTGTGAATGGATTTTTATTTCTAGATACAGAATAAGAAGAAGCCCATGATACTTTCTATACCTTCAAAAGGTTCTTATGCCAGGGCAAACAGTTATTCTTTCCTTCTCACACTGAGAGTATGTAATGCTTAAATCTTGAGCAGTACAATTTTATTGTTAATTCACCAGATGTGTAATTACGAACTAGGCACCAGGTGGAATGTTTGCACCGAATAGAATGCATGTAAAGTCTCTGAATAATGTCTAGGAACAAAATCTCAGGAATGTTTGCCTTGACCATCCAAGTAGTGTTCCTGGTATCTTGAGCATAATTTTATATACAGGTCCTTAATAGACCCAGCAGGCTTCATGGCTCTCTGACTACGTGGGATGAAAAGCTACCTGAGATTCTGTCTCTTGGGGGCAATACAGGGACATTTTTCTATAAAGTGTTCAAGATTTCTCTGGCCAAGAGAGTAGCTACAGAAGAACCTGAATTGATAACTTGAGTTTGATTATCCAATATATTTTCCTACTGAGCAATAAATGGTGGGTTCTTGGTGCATGGAATATCAGAACCCTAGAACAGCTCTGACACTAAGTTGAATATTTCATATTTTTTACATCAACAAGATGTGGTCTAACCACAAAGGAAACCTGGTGTGCCTTTCCTCCCAGTGCTCTTTGACCTTAGATTGACTAGCACTCTGAAATGCTTCCCAAAATGAATCACCTCCTACACCAATCTGCATTCCTGGGCTGGGAATTCTAGATGTTATTTCCATGGCCATTGGTTATCTTAGGAATGTCTGGGGGACCCCGGGACCTCCCTGGAGGTTTGATTCAATTCTGATGGTTCATGTTGGGGTCTGCACCAGCTCCAGCAATTAATAGGGAGCATTCTGTTTTAATAGGCATCCAAAGGGAAGTAGAATATCTTTCCTTTCTTACACTTGAACCAAAATTAAGTTGCATAGAACAACATGGAATAAATGATTAGTCCTAAACAATGCAACCTTGAAAAAATTATATCTGGATTCTAACTTACTAAGGGCACCAAATGGTGCAAACAGAATCTGTTGTTCATATCTTTGTGGCTGCAATTAGAAACGATGAACCATAAGCTCTATTCATAAAATACCAGATCGGGGTATTTAATCTTTTGTGTGCAGTGGACACCATTGACAGTCTGTTGAAGCCTACAGACTCCTCAGGATGTTTTCTTAAATGCATAAAATAAAATACATAGAATAACTGAAGAATCCAATTATAATGAAATAAAGTTATCAAAATATTTTAAACCTCAAATTTCGGGTATAATAATACATATGCTACTTTATATTGCATTAAATAAAAATCTAAAGATGGGTCTAATAACTAGTAAAGATGAGTATAAATGATATTACACAGTACCTGCAACAACTGGAAGGTGATACGAAAATTCATGGTTTCTATAATCATAGCAGTTTGTTACCTACATCCGTAATTGAAGAAAATGCTAAATTCCAGGTAGAGATTAGTGAGAATAAATACATTTTTCTTAGTCCAAGTTAAGATACTACCTATGGTTAAGAACCCCCCTGTACTAGGCTGTTTTGGTCCAAGTTCAGCTAAGAACCTCATTCTACCTGTTGGCAATTTACGAGTTCAACTTTCAATACCGGAAAATAGCTTCCTGTAGCAATTTCTTTTGTCAGAGCTCCAATTTCAAGGTTATGTGGAAACATTCTCTGTCAAAAGGTCTTTTGTGACTTTCAGTAAATTTTACTCCATTTTAATTTGTTGAGCGTTGCTTGGGACAATATTACCTGGGCTTTCCTGTAGTCTGGTGACTCAGAATTATGACACGAATGCAGATTTACCTGGCTAGCATTGCAGAGGTTGCTTTCAAGTTGAAAGCTGGCCAAAGTTCCCAGTCTCCAAGGTCTGTAATTTAGGACACTTCTGTTAGCCATCATCTGTTCTTTGTTAAGAGGAATTTGTTCAGGTCTCTCCCTGTGCCAGAGGCACGTATTGTTAGACGTATTAAGAAAGTAATTTATTCCTGACATTCTTACTCTTGGAGTAATTGCTCTGGAATATTTTCGAAAGCTTCCATGAAGATTTTTTTAAAAAGCATTTTCAATTCTTTTTTTCTTGGTAGAAAAATATATTTTAGCGTCTTTTGTGAAGAAAAATGATTTTTACATTTTTAGATTTCATTCACATTTTCTTAATAGACATGAAAAGCAGCAGTAGTCCTTATGTAAGTTTGGGGAAGGGATAGAATGTTATTTCATGCCAACTGTGAAAATAACATTCAATAAGCATTATTTGCCAACAGTGAGAAAACGGAAATTGAACTCTCTGTCATGAATTCAGCCCATTCTGTACTTATTAGGGGAGAAAGGAGAAGTTAGAAGAAAATGTGACAAGGAACATTCTGGAGCTCATTTTTTTGTTTTTTTAACATCTTTATTGGAGTATAATTGCTTTACAATGGTGTGTTAGTTTCTGATTTATAACAAAGTGAATCAGTTATACATATACATATGTCCCCATATCTCTTCCCTCTTGTGTCTCCCTCCCTCCCACCCTCCCTATCCCACCCCTCTAGGTGGTCACAAACCACCGAGCTGATCTCCCTGTGCTATGCAGCTGCTTCCCACTAGCTATCTATTTTATGTTTGGTAGTGTATATATGTCCATGCCACTCTCTCACTTTGTCACAGCTTACCCTTCCCCCTCCCCATATCCTCAAGTCCATTCTCTAGTAGGTCTGTGTCTTTATTCCTGTCTTACTCCTAGGTTCTTCATGACTTTTTTTTTTCTTAAATTCCATATATATGTGTTAGCATACGGTATTTGTCTTTCTCTTTCACTCTAGGTCCATCCACCTCACTACAAATAAATCAATTTCGTTTCTTTTTATGGCTGAGTAATATTCCATTGTATATATGTGCCACATCTTCTTTATCCATTCATCCAATGATGGACACTTAGGTTGTTTCCATCTCCTGGCTATTGTAAATAGAGATGCAATGAACATTTTGGTACATGACTCTTTTTGAACTATGGTTTTCTCAGGGTATATGCCCAGTAGTGGGATTGCTGGGTC